ATGGCAACGCACATCTTCGCCAACCAAAGCCAAACAGTCCATTTCAGCACGAAAAATTATGGCAACTGTCTTTTGGGACAGGAAAGGGATTTTGTTAGTGGATTTTATGCCAAGAGGCACAACAATCAATGCTGATGCATATTGTGTGACCTTGAGAAAATTCCAGCATGCCATACAAAACAAGCAGCATGGTCTACTGTATTCCAGTGTGATGTTGCTCCATGACAATGCAAGGCCACATGTTTCCGCACAAACACAAGGTCTAATCAGTTCTTTTGGATGGGAACAACTGGATCATCCACCTTACAGTCCAGACCTTGTATCCAGTGATTTTCACTTCTTTCGATAATTAAAGGATTTTGGTGGTCAACAGTTCAACGACGACGAAGAAGTGAAAACTGCAGTCATGGATTTGGCTTTTTCACAAACGGCAGATTTCTTTGAAGTCGGAATTCAAAAACTTGTTGAGCGGTATGACAAATGTATGAACAAAAATGGAAATTATGTAGAAAAGTAGAAAAAAGTATGTGGAATATGGAAAAAATATATTTTAATGATATTTACAATAGTTTTCTTCTTATTAAAAAACGGACCTTATTTAAAAATTAGCCTTTGTATTATCAGTTGCACTTGCATGAGTTGTTAAAAATATTCATATGTTGTTTTTGTAACCATTGGAATGAGAGATTGAATTTCCCATTTCACACTCTCTTTTCTTTTCTAAACTGTGGTACTCCCAGCCCTTGTTCATTTTTTTTTTAATTATTTTATTTCATCTGTTTTAATATTAATTTGTTTCTGAACTTGGTACTGTTGTTATGCCCCAGTTGGACACTATCACCCAAGGCTATAACAGATTGCTGGGTGTGTGGCTGACGTGTAATGGAACTTCCTTTTTTAATAATGTATTTTTTCATACATAATCAGTTATCCGAGCCACCTACATATGGCCTAGTTTTGTTTATTTTACTCTTAAATACTTGCACAATAAATTTCAGCTCATTTTGGTCACTAGAACCCGTGCCAACTTGCATCGAATCATGTCCATACATGTTGCACTAGAAAACTGGCACATATTCGCTTTGTTTTCCATTCTAACACAACCTGTTGGGCTATTAACACAGTTTTATTTTTCGAAGATATCAGTGGAATTACGAAGTGCTAAAGAACATATTTTCTTAGTCAGAGATAAACTACCAAATCACGGGTGCAAAATAACTGTCAAATTGGCAAGTACTCGCAGTTTTGTTTTTTAACAGTCGCAAAGTTAAATTAACTGTTAGTGAAAGTGCAAATCTTGTAATATGCAAGTGTACCATATTTTGGGAAAAAGCTAGAATACCTACAAAATCTATACCTAACTGTGTCAAGAAATTGGTGGATCCTTATCACATATGGAGAGAGTTGCAAAAAAACAGTAAGAAAACTCAAGATGTTTATAAGCGCTGCAAGAAAACTTTTCAAATGGATTGAGTTAACTTATTTGATATTGCACACGCCGATGCCCTCGAACGTATGACAATAGAGGAAGATAAAAATAATTCTTACAGAAACAGAGAAAACTAGGGTGTCCGGGCTGCTTAGTGGGTGTAGATAAAAAATTGGCTGAAAAAAAGAAAGGGCAAGGCAAAGAAAAATAGAAGTAAAAAGAAAAAGGCTCAAAAATATTTCTATGAAAGCTGCATCGACTTCTTCAATATTGCATAATTTATCACCACTCCAGGAACTATACGACAGTTCTCATAGCTCTGACAATAGTCTGGATGAGCTTTTTCCTCAAGAATTGAATACTGTGCCATCTGAAACAGTGTAAAAAGAGGAAGAAAAGATTTCGTTACGCCTAAACTAGTTGCAGCTTTAGACAGATGCCAGTTAAGCATTAGAGATTCCATTTATATTCTTCATGCTACAGTGGAAGTACTAGGGCTTAGTATTGATGAATTTTCAATTGACAAATCTTCACTTCAATGGATTCGGACACAAGTGAGGAAGGACAGAGCAGAAGCCATAAAATCTGATTTTCAGGATTATGTGCCAGAAGTAGTCACCATTCATTGGGATGGCAAATTGTTACCTGGCTTGAACATTAGAAGTTCTAAAGAAGAGTTCCTAACAATTCTTATTTCATTCAGAGAGAGGGAACAAATGCTTGCCGTACCAATACTGGACAGTTCTTCTGGTAAACACTAAGCCAACACAGTTTCGAATGCACTCTATGATTGGAATTTAAATGACAAGGTACAAATAATGTGTTGTGACACAACAGCATCCAATATGGGTTGCTTAAATGGAGCTTGTGTGCTATTATAGCAAAAGCTAGAGAGCTATTACTCTTTACTTGTCACCATCATATATATGAGCTACTTTTAAAAAGTGTGTTTGAAACAAAAATCCTCCAAGTTACTAACAGCCCCAATATTCCAATATTCAAAAAATTTAAAGACTCTTGGAAGAGCATTGATTCTATAAACATACAAATGTGCATTGATTTTGTAAAACAACATTTCAATGATGCGGAAATTGATCAATTATTATCTTTTTATATGAGAGAACTTCAAAAATCTATTGTGATAGATGATAATCGTGAATTAGTTGAGTTATCTATCATATTTTTGGGGGGAGATAAAGGAAAAAAAATTCAAATCAGGCATCTGGAAGCAAATGCATCAAGCAAGGTGAATGGCTAGGGCTATTTACTCTTTGAAAGTATGTTTGCTGCAGTCTCAATTCAGAATGAATGCCAAGGACAAATGAGCATTGCAAGACGTTTGCTTATTTGTTGTAACAGTTTACGTAAAACCCTGGCTTGGATGCGGTTTGGTAGTACAGGTGCCGTATCAAGATTTGTGCTTTTTAAAAACATTAAAAGAATACAAAAAAGTTGACAAATTAATTTCCCATGCAGCTTTGACCAAGTTTTGTCAACACTTGTGGTACTTATCTGAGGAAATAGCCATATTATCACTATTCAATGATTTAGTTGATGAAATAACCAAGATGAAAATAGTAGCTAACTTGGAACGAGAAAGTATATCCGATTTCAGGAAAAGGTTTATTCCATCAAAAGAAGAAATAGTCAGCTCTTTGTATAGTATATAGAACTACATGTTTTGTTTGTACTTTAATTATATCTTATTTAAACTATACCTACTTTTTGTTTCAGGAAAAATTTTGGATTGTTTTGTGTCTAGGAAGAGCAAAAATCTGTTTACTAGGTTAAAAATTGAAAGCAGTTTCCTTCAGGAAAGTGTTTCTTCATTTTGTATGTAAGTAAGTCTTAGCGATTTGAAAAGAATTAAGGGGTATGCATTTAAAAATTCAAAAAAAAAAATTTTTTTCTTCATATAAGGACACCCTCATATATATATATATTGAATCACAATGCTCTGTTTACAGGTCTTGGTGAAATAAAAAATCCATATTGTTCACTTCATTTCATGGCTTGCTTTGCTCTCTCTTATCATAGATTTATAATTCAAGATATATATATATCTTGAATCACAATGCTTGTCAGGAAATAATTGTATAGTATTAGTTTATAGATATTGTCAGGTAATTTTAATGTACATCCTAGTTTAGTTCATTCGTGTTAGTGCTAATATCAGTTCTTTTCATTTATCATATAATTCCCAATAAAATTCACTCTCAAGTGGATGGGAATTACAAAACAAAACAGTTTTTTAAGCAAATTTAAGTGAGAAATTTGGACCCTATCCAGAGCCTCACAAATTCAAAATGATTCCATCTAAAGATGGGAGTATTTGAATGCAAGAATTGAGAATTATTCGATTAAAAAAGTTCTCTTTCCAAGAGCTTGTAATAGGTATTCAAATAAACAGCCTTATCAGATACAATCTTTATGAGGTCACATGATAGCTAACAAGCCAATTCAAGAATAAAGGGCTAGTGTTTCACTCTGCATTCAGAATTTCTAATTGCATTACAGTAATACAGAGATCAAGTTATTCTGTGATGTGGCTTTTCAAAGAATTTTAATACCCTAACATAATCATTTACTTCAATCTCTGTTATCATTTTAATTATCATCATTTTAATCAACTTGTTATCAAATACTTGGCATTAATTAGTTACTAACTACTCCACACAAGGCAAATTAGCATCACTATGTTACCTTATTTCCATTGTTTTCATGAATTACAGTTGTTGTTTGTTCTTGAAAATTCAATTCTTTGAAAGTCATTCTGATTCTTGAAAATTCTCACTTCTTAAAAGTACTCAATTCTGCTCTTGATTATATCTAACATCCTGTCTATATGTCTCCTCATCATATGACCTTTCTTTCTCTGACAAGGTTTGAAATTGTTCTTGAAATACAGTTTGTCATGCTCTGCAATGATTGTTATAACTGGAGATGATTTTACTTATATATCAATACTTACAAGGTGAAATCATAATTTTCTGTTTTATTCATGTTAAGTAATGTTCTTCATAACCAAAAACTTTTTCTACCTTGGACAGGTTTTAACTTATAACAAAACTTAATGTAAAACTTCATGCCATTCTGAAGTTTTTTCCATTTTAGATAGGTTTAGTGTGACATATATCATATATATGTATATATATATATAGAGGCCTATACACCCATTTATTTTCTAAAATAATAAATTTCTTGAAAACAGTTGACTGTAACTTCACTCTATGAATGATGTAAAAATAAATTGAAATAAATAAAAGAATTGTTGTTTGGGTTTGTGACGGGTTTAAAAATTCAACATATAAAAAACAAAATGAACACTAAAACTGAAAAACTTGGAAATAAAGTACACAAAAAAGAAAAAAGTTTTTTGTGTACTTTACAACATATAAAAAAGTTTATAAAGGTTTAGAAAGGTTTGTATATTGTATAAAAGTAAAATATTTGTATAGTTATTCAAAATGTTTTCAGTTTTTAAATACATTCAAATTTTGAATTATTAGCATTTATGAATGAAAAAGATGAATAAAATATTCCTATTTAAACAGTAAACATGTAATAATACCTTCTAAGCTACTTTTGTCCTCCATGATTTATCTTTGCCCAATTCTTAGCAGCGATGGAGAAAGATCAGGTATGCTGTTTCAACTAAAATATAACAACAATAAATAATCAATATTAAGTAAGTTATTAATTCAATAAATTAAAATGTTATAAATTTATATTTTTATTGTATGATCAATAAGTACAGTGTCTTTCATGATAAGCATAAATTTTAATGAAAAGAACAAATCATATAAGGAACAGTAAAAGTGTAATAGTACCACTAAAGTTGGAATAGTCAACTACTAATGTGTTCCTTATATGATTTTTTTCTCTTTAAAAAAATTTATGCTTATCACTAAAGGATCTATCAGAAGAATGAGTAGCAATTAAACAACATAAGTAAAGTGTATTCCTTAATAATGTTTTAAAAAATAGCAACTTTTTGCTAAACTACACAGTAGAAAAACTTTTATACCAAAATTAATTCCAACTCAAACCATTTTGTTATTTGTTTGAATAAAACACATGTTCAAAGTGACCACCCCATTTATGAACACATTTTCAGAATTATAATCCAGTACAGTAGCCCCTCATTATACCATTTATTTGGATATATCATGCTTTTTTTGTAGTCCAAATGTAAAAGCACTTTAGACAATTCTTTTTTAAAAAATCAGTTGCCATTGAATTTTTACTGGCAAAGAAATATTACCTCATTCCAATCATTGATCTTGAAATTACCATTGTTTGAAATACAACTGACAAAAAAGTAAAGTCAACATGAAGATATAAAATACACAAAACAGGTAGATATATCATGCCATATAATATTTGCTCATTTGATTTGTCTCCCAATGTGCACAATATAACAAGCAGCCAATGTATTTCTGATAGTTATAGGTTGCCAGATTTCTATGATGGATTAAAGGGCACTTAAAAATGATTAATGCTATCACTCTCCAACTTTCTCTCCACCCTATTCCATTCCAAAACAGTAAAACTGAATGATTTTTAGTTAACAATTATATTCTGTTTATTCAAATAATAACAGCTTTTAGTTTAGAAACTGTTTATTGTCTGTATGTAAAACATTTTCAGTTCTAATTTAGGTCATCTTCAGTATCTATTTCCAATAACTCATTTTAAAACACCAAATGTAAGAATGAAAAATAATTTAAAATACAATGTTAATATCAGAATAGAATTTTAAAATTCTAAATGCTTTTTTTTTTCAGATCTATAGATATTAGGATTAAAGAGCATTGTGGAACATTTAGAAATCCTAGAATCTATATGCCTTCCACTATGCTCATATAATGGGTAATTAAACCTAATGTTAATTTAAATTAAGAAATAATGCCAGACTGTTACGCAAGGAAAGTAAAAACATCCCATTCAGATTGTTAGAACAAGTTTATATTTTAATTTTTAGTAAGTATAGATGAGTTATAATTAAACAGATGCATGTGGTATGCTACAACTGCGGAATATATTAATGAATAGCATACATTTTCTGAATCAAGTTTAAAAAATTATTAGATCAATTAAATCTTTATTTTATTTAATTTTTTAGAAAAAGTGCATTTAGAATCTTCAGATACTAATCTGATATTAATGGCTTGTGTTCTTAAAACATTTGGTGTTCTAAAATTAGTTGTTTGGAAGTATATGCTGAAATGATCTAAATTAAGGTCATACACATTTAACATTAACAATAAACAGTTCCTGAATTAAAAATTGCTATTATTTGAATGAATTTATCATGGTACTGGGGCTGTACTCCTTATTTTTGTTTTAATACTTAGAATATAGTATGCTTTCTTCAATCCTTTCTGCCTTTTCACCTTTAGCTTCTTCTTCCAACTTTCTCTATGGCCATTTCTGTCTAAGTTGGGCCCCCTTTCCAGAAATAACTGGTTTGACTAGTGGCAGAGTAGGGCATGAGAGAAAGAAAGGTGAAGACTAGTGGTCTGGGTTAAAGAACTGTGGTCAGACAACAGTGGTCCATCTGTAATAGTGGGATCCAGACTATAAGTACAGTAATACCTTGACTTACGCCACCCCGTCTTACGTGAACCCGGAGTTATGCGATTTTCAAATCTCATGGATTCGTCTTTTGTTTGAGCGGCACACAGCTCTTCATTACTCACTCCCCCCACACTATTGTTCAGCTTACATGTTCGGATGTGTCGTGCTGAATCGACACATAGTTACAATTTATTTTGTGTTATTTATTTCTGTGTTTGTTATATCTACGGAGACTTGAGAGACTCTATATGGTAATTTCTTGTAACCGTAAATGAATCAAAAGATGTGATAAGATTAACGAGAACATTTATTAGCTTACATATGTCCGAATTTGGATTTTACACAAATTGCAAAATTATACCCCGACTTACGCGAATTCGACTTACGCGGTTATCGCTTGGTCCCACCTATCGCGTAAGTTCGGGGTATCACTGTATCAAAGAAAAGGAAAAAGACAATGGGATTCAGGCAAACAAGATAGAAATAGAAAGGTGAAAACTATCAAATACTATGCAAATAATACTACTTGTAAATACTATCAAATCCTTATCATAATTTATGGGGTAGAATAAGTCTTGTTAGTTAATTGTACACTTTTTACCAGCTGCCATACACAAAAAGAGTCATTTGTGACAGCAGGCAACTTCTGAAAAACATAAAGCTCACAAGGCAAAAAAGAATATACCCAGTCTTTGACTTAGTGTTACTACTGCAGGATCATTCATTCCAACTAGGCACTCATCAGTGACCAAGTGAACAAAACAACTGAACAGTGGCAGATGGTCCCAAGTTTGTGCTTGATCAACAGGCTTTCTGCATAGCATTTTTCAGGTTTTCTTCATATGTCAAACACTTAAATAGGAACCACTTTCTCAATTGAAAGTCCTCCCAGAAGACACGTCCCTTGACAGATTGTCCTTGTGTTGCAATCCCTTCTTCCATCAATCTAATCATTCCAACTGGACTGAAAAACTGATTGCTTATTTACCAATTAATTAGTGAGCACACCAAAATAGCTTAATTAGTTTAAATGTCAAATGTTTTGATCTCTTTGTGTTCGAATAGCTAACCAACTAAAAAACTTTTTCTACCTTTTGATATAATAAAAATGTGTGTTGTGTGTACATATATATACACTGTGACTGTACACCATAATTTTAAGTTATTATAGAATATTCTAGATTGTAGTTTGTCCTCAATTCTTATAATTTCCTGTTTCTAGAACTTTCTCCTGCCTTTTATTTCTACTTCACTTGGTTGTTGATTGACATTCTGAACTGTTCCATTGGGAGAGTAAATGTCTGAGGGCCCAAAATGTGAAAGTAATGGTTTTTCAGAGAAGAGAGACGGCTGGATCAAGCTTCTCTCAGATGGAGAGAGAAAGTTGATCTGGACCATAGTGAAGAACCTAGGAGTTTGCTGAAGGCTTTGTGCCACCAGAGTCCTAATGCTTAAAACAATTGTCGATGAAGACAATCTCTGTTATCCCTCCAAAAAAATGTATGTGATAACTCGTCTCCAAAAGGAAGGATGAAATTCCATTGAGAATCAACTAAAATAGTCATTTCAGAAACAAAAGGATCAACCGAGTATAGGTATCCCTTTCTTTTCTTTATTCTCTGTCTATCTTAATTTCCTATTCCGCATCTTGAAGCATAAGTTAGTTTTAAGTTAATTTTAAAAGGTAAATTTTTGTAATATAGATTGTGCCCTTTTTTTTTATTATTGTAAGCATGAAAACCTCTTTGTTTGTCAAGCAGGTCCATGTGCTGGCACCTTTTGTTCTTGGGCAGAGCCTAGAGTTGGTATCCGAATCCCTTTCATTGTGCATTGTGTTATCTCAATAAATGTATTGTTATTGACAAGACTATGTCTTGTTTATAAAATTGTACTGCCGTTTTTTATTACCAGCATAGAGGTATGAAGAGGTACATGTTGAGAGTTAATATTTGGCACAGAGTATTTGGTGCTTAAATCATTTGTGGATAAAAAAATCCAGACTCGTAGGTAGTCAGGAGACCAAGAACCGAGTCAAAATAAAATCCAAAATGGAAACCCTCTTCTACAAACAGGCAAAACTGCCACCTCACCCAACCGAAGTCAGGTAGGGGAGTCAAGGTCCTAGATTATTCTAAGACCTTGAGGGGAAAGTACCACCCACAGTCATACTAAGAAGTGAACTCTGACCTTAGGACTGAACACGTAGTTTCTTCTATGTTAAATAAAATTTGTAATGTAATTTTGTAAATTTGGGAGTGCTTCAAATATGACATTAAAACTTTTATGTCATTACAAGTGGTGTTTTCTAACATTATCTAGTATATTAAAATCATGGGACAGATAAAAATTTGACGTTATATTAAAGTTGTCATTACAGCCGATGATGTTATAATCAAGTTAAACTGTATAGTGTTTGTGCAAAATAAAAAAATAATGTCGGACAATACAATAGCCATGATTATTTTTTTCAAAAACAGGAAATTTTCGTTACGCATCGACAAAAATTCAACCCGGGCCGACACACAATGAAGAGAAATTTTTAAATTGGATAGGTTAATTTCATCGAAAATGCATGGTGGACGACCTCATGGTTGTGGCCGGTGAAGTTTGAACAATCACACCCAAAAGCAGCAATACCAAAGAAGATTGCCTTGAGCGTCAAAGTTATTCCACTTAGTAGTGAGTCTCCAAGACATAGTCTTGGCCCAAATATGGTTTTGCTTTTTTACTTGTTTCATTTTATACTGTCTCAATATTGTTGTATTATCACCTTAGTGGCAATTGGGCACAACTGCATCTTTCACAACACACACACATTTTTATTATGTCAAAAAATAAAATAAATTGTTTAATTCATTTAGAATTATGTTCAAATTAAAAAATAAAAATTAATATCTCTGTATTAATTTTCTAACATTTTAAATTTTATCTTAAAGAAATTGTTTTGTTATTGAGTTTTTTTTTTTTTTTTTTTTTTTTGGAATTAACCAAAAACATATAAGAACAAAAAAACTTTAATTTTTTTTCCAAAATTAGAGATACAGGTTGTTTTATAGGATGCCAGATAGTCTCGA